ACGGGTAGTCGCGAGTGGCTGACCAGAGCGAGGCCGACGAACGACTAGGCATTAGTCTGAGAAACTTTTGAGGTATCAAATGAATATGAGTGAAAGTCTGAAGCAAATTATCGAATAACTGCGCTATCGAAATAAAATAGATTTTATTTATTCGTTTGGGCAAAAAGTTCTGCAACGATTTCACCCTCGTCCTCATATCAAAGTGTTGCAAAACTTTTTGCCCAATCTAGCATTTCTTCTAAAAAATAGATGCCATTGGACGATATCCTTTCAGTAGAGGGTCAGCGGCTACTAAGCCGCGTTACTTGTTGAATTTACACAAAATTCTCAATCAATTTGTGTTTTACAAATTTATTATGAACACAATTGTAATATTCATATACCAAAATATGTTATTGTTCTTTTTAATGGAATATTATCATTAATGATATTTATACAAGAAAAAGTCGAAGAATTACAAAATTAGTTATTTTATTTGTAATTTTTATTTCACATATGATTTATCTTCATGTATATGAAGATAAAATTGAAAGAAGATTATACAATATTTACGTCACTATATCTAATTGTATCAGTTATATTAGATTGTAATAAATCATCAAGATTATTTTGACTTTTTCTTATTAATTATTTTTTATCATTTATTCCAGCAGCATTTATTTTTCTTATTTTTGTTATTCCATCTCCACTTTATCGCCAACAATTTCTTCAATAACATTTCATTTATTTACGAGAATAAATAGATGTTAGAGAATTTCTTATTTTCTATTAAATAAATGAATTACAGAGAATAAACACAAAATACACTTCAAATACAAAAACTTTTCAGCGAGATTAAAAAGAGTGAGTGTTGGTAAACTCGATGTGTAAATAAACCATCCTCACCCTTCCCCTCAGTTGTAAGTGTTCATGAGATAATTTTATCGTATAAAATGACATGACATATTTTGTCTATCATAATAAATCTCTTCAGATCGTAAAACATTTTTTTCTTTTATTAATTCATAAAACATCAAAGGAAAAATATTGAAATACATATATTCAAATCTGCTGCAGAAAAAAAGTGGTCTACGTCAATTATGGCAACATCGTTTATTTTAAATAATTTGTATTTTATTTCTAATTCTTACAATTATCTTTATAATAATATTCTCTTTGATGTTAAAATTCGCTTTATCAACTTCAAAAACTGAAAGTAATCTTTTGATATATGTTAATAGATAATTAAAAATATGATTATCTTTGCACATAAATGCTTCATCGAGGAGAAAATGAAAATTCAATAGGTTTGAATACATGTTTGCTTGTATTTGAATTGAGAGATGAGGTAGCAGCAATATTATTCGACTCACACTGAATTTTTGACTTCCGATTAGTAGTAAGTTCAGGTGATTTGACTGGAACTCTCTCATGTTCTTCCGAAACGGAGTCAATCGAGTTGATTATTTCTTTATAATGAATAGTCTTGCGAACTAGTATTGGTTCGACGTTAATATCAATATTCGTATCAATAAATGTACTTTCTAACTTTTCGGTTTGTTGTGAAGAATGATTTTTTTCATACATGATGATTAAACGATGATGAATATCATAAGAATTATGAGCCATCTGTATAGAATAAACTTGCGGAATTCTAAAAAAACCAAGAGATTCTTTTTCAGATGCCGACTGATCTGAGGATATAATAAGGTGAAAATTGACACTTCGCATTGATTGAAGATAGCGAGCAATTGAACTTTCGTACGATCCTTGAATTGAGCATATATATGAACTAGCGACGACTAAAAATACATCACGATAATACGTTGACTGTCTTGCTATTTTATCTAGAAATGCAGACATGCAGTCAGAGATATTAATAGACGTAAATATGTTGAATTTAATTGCATTAATGCGATCAAAATTTTCATCAGTTTCAGCAGTATTAGCATTGCATGAAAGTATAAGTAGAATATTTGAACCTTTTTCATCATACAAGTATATTTCAATAATATCATGTGGTTGTGCTCTTTGTGCAACTATTTTTATAAGTTCGATAATTGCCGTCTTTATATTATTAATGATTTGTTTAACTATTTCAGCATCTTTCTTATTATTATCCATATGTGTAATAATGAGAATAAAAGTACCACGAGCTCGTATCATTAGAGAATTATGCATAATTTGTGGTTGTATACTAGTCGTTCTTTTAACAGTTGATTGACTGGATGACAATGATGATAATTTTATATTTGAATTCTAAAACATAAACTTTTTGTCTTATTATGAATAAAAAAGTATTTTCAAGTACTATTAGTAATATACTACTATAGAACGAGAAAAAGATTATCATATAAATAAACAAAATGGAAGTTATGAGCGTTTATAGCCGAAGATATATTTCATTCCATCGACTGAAAAAAATAGTTTGTATTTTTGTGTGAGGATCAAAATATCAAAGGTAAACAAAAATATCAACATACATTCCCTTTTATTCTGTGTGATCCTCACTTAATCAAATGTTTTCATTCTTGATCTCTCCATTCATCAGAATAAGAGTATTAAAATTTTTTCGGGATATCGATGTCTATCGAATGACTTCTTATGTCTATGATTGATTGTGAGAGGATAAATGTGAAATTTAATGAGGACTACTTTAGCAAAGACTGGAATCGTTATGTCTGCAGTGAAGAACGCGGGTATTTTCATTCTGTCTCTTTTTTGTTATATGTGAAATCGGACAGTTAGGATGATATTATCAAGCGTTCATTCTGATATCTTTGCTAAGCCTAAAGTCAGTCGAGAGTGAAGCAGGATGTTTCGACGAGCATTATTTATATCTTCTAGTTATGTTCCATTGTATACAGCTAATAAAAGTAATTGAATTAATTATCATAATTGATTCCGCATCTAACCTCATTAGAGAAAAAATCGTTGATTACATTACTCACATTATCATTCTGTACGAGTAAAGGTATTACATGATTTGGATATTGAATTGTATCAGTTTCTGTACGCCACCAAAGTATAATAATAGGTTTATATGTTGTTCTTTTGGACTGTTCTTGTTCTTCGAATGGATAGAAAATTCTATTTAATTTCTTATAGATATGGTCGACATTATTTGTTAATTCTTCTGTTGATATCGGTAAATATACAGATTGAATAGGCATTTTAATCAATTTAGCCAGACTGATAAGTGTAATCACTGTTATTACATTAGGTACATCCATCTGAAAAATATAAATGTTTCAAAGATTTTCATGGTAGATAGACTCACTTGCGCTCGTTCGTATACAAGACTTGACCATCGTCCTTGATTTGCTTCTTCTGAATCGAATAGAGATGCTAATAAATCTGGATGATCGTACGCATAATTATGCAAGTTGCAAAGTATATCAATAAGACACTGAATTCGTAAATCCAACACATCTTCCTCTAATGAAAATCCAAGTAATGTTACTATAGCTCGGAATAGAACACTTCCATCATTTGATATATTTACCGGTATTAAACTTCTTAAATGAACATTAGGATCTTGATCAGGTAGCAAATGCAGATAATTACGAACAGAAGAAGAATCAATTTTATGTATAGACGCGTTAAATTTTGCAGGAAAATAACATTCTTTAAAATTAAAATCAGGATATTTATCTTCGAATTCTTTACATTTCTTTTGTAATGCAGTGAAACCATTCTGTTTGTATATTAGTTGAAGTTCATTATAAATATCCATCAAGAAATTATGTCGATTGGAATTTCTACTGGGTAAAGCCATTTACAAGGAATAATATAATATAACTTTCATGTAAAATATGATTCACTGTATTCTTCTACACGTTCGTTGTTGTTGTTGTTCTTGATGTTAGTATTATATATACGTATCTCATTCTTTATTTACTTGGTATTTTCTAACGTAACATTTGCCCTTCACGAGTTGTTTTCATCTATATTGGCATTTCTAGATAAGAAAAAATGAAATTATTTTATCACGTTATCAATGTGGGAATTTTTCATTGATCCATAGTAATAAATATAATAGAATCACATCACGAAATAGAGCTATAGCTAGTAACATTTATTTTTTATTTTTAATTCCTGTAGTAGATATTAAAACGAATTTGAGAGAATATTTGTTCTTTGTTTCATAAGTGCTATACTTGAACTTTTCAACTATTCAATTATGTAACGACAAACTGGTTGAGTAGCTGACCGCTTCTCACGGTATCGATGTTTATTGACTACTCTACATTACCAGAATATATCTCTTTCACAATAAGACATGTGCTTATATAGAGAAGAGGAAAAAGAGATATGACCCGGAGATAGTACGATACAGAGGTGAGAGAATAAAGAACAGAAAGAGATGAACGATATCATTATCGTTACAACGGATCTTGGTGAATAATGAAAAACTAACAACGGATTCGAGTAGTGATTACTTCAGGAATATCGATAAGTTCCATTAGTTTGAGAAATGCTAGTTTCTGATTGGATAGGAAAGATCGACAAACTTTAAGCTTCGAGCCTAGGATTTAATCGCTGTATAACACTTTCTTTCAGAAAAAGGAATATCGCCTGGAATAGTTTATTGGAAGTTATATCAGTCGGAAAACGTATTTTCGATGTCGAGAACAGAACGTTCACAAATCACAAGAGAAAAAGATTCTTAGGTTGGTTTATAATTTTGTTTTTAATAATTGAATTTTCTTTCGAATATTTTGTAGAAAAGAATGGTTAGTCGGTGAAGAACATTGTGCACTGTCTTGAGCGCGTTCATAAAACCGAATTGCCTTTGAATATTCGTTCATAGCTTCATAACAAGTAGCAACGCCGTTGTAAGTGGCAGCCAACGCTGGATCACTCTTTGCGAGACACTTTTCTCGAATTTGCAGTGATTTTTCGTAATACGTCAGGGATTCACAATAATCGCCTATGTGACTAAACACCAAACCAATATTACAAAGACAAGTTGCTAAATGTGGATGACCAGAAGGAAGAGTCTCTTGTTGAATTTCAAGTGCCTTTTTAAAGAATTCAAGTGCTTTTTCGTATTTATGTATTCTATGATAAACGAAAGCGATGTTGTTGTAAGAAGTCGCCACTGAAGAATCGTTTGAAGATAGTTTTATTTGAACAGCTTTATGATGGAAGTCAAGCGCTTCGGAAAATTGCCCAATATTTGCATATCCTAAACCAACGTTATTATAAGAAATCGCTAAAGTCGGATGATTTTCAGGAAACGCGTTTTGATAAATTTGCAAAGCTTGTTTATAAAAAGAAAGTGCTTTGGAATATTCAGTCATTTTGTTATATACACCTCCAATGTTGTTGTATATTAAACCGAACTTAGCATGACCATCAGGTAAAGTTCTTCGAAAAATTTCCAATGATTTTTCATAATACGAGATCGCTTTTTCATATTCACACATATTACAAAACGACTCAGCGAGGTTATTATAAATAGTGGCGGTATCAGGATGATTATAAGGGAAAGTTTCGTGTCGAATGGCGAGTGCTTTTTCAAAATAAGACAGTGCCAGTGGATAATTACCCAACTTACTGTACAACGAGCCAATGTGATTAAAAGAAGTGGCGAACTTTGGATGGGCTTCGGAGAAAAGATCTTGTCTGATTTGAGTGCTTGTTGAAAACAGGAAAATGATTCGGTATTTTCATTCGTATAGAAAAACACCAAACCTATATTGTCGTAAGTGTCTGCTATATGTGAACGATTAGGTGAAGTGGTTTTTTGAAGAATATTCAATGCTTTTTGAAAAGATTCAAGTGCTTTGGAATATTGACCCATGTTGATATACGAATTTCCAATATTGTTATGATTGTCAGCTGATAGACGATGATTTTCAGGAAGAATTTTGGATGCTTTTTCATGAAATAGAAGCGATTGAGAATAATCTTGAATCTCACTGTATAGATTTCCAATAGCACTATAGACGTTAGCGAAATCAGAATGATCGGGTGGAAGACTTTTCTCGTAGATTTTCAGTGCTTTTTTTATAATAACGAAGTGCCTGTAAAAATTGACCCATTAGATAAAAGATATCTCCGATGTTACTGTAAGTAATACCATAAGATCGGGATGATTTTCAAGAAGTATTTTATGCTGAATTTCCATTGCTTTTTCATAATACGAAAATGCGATTGAATATTCACCCAAATTTCTATAAATTCCTGCAATATTATTGTACGACGAAGCTAAATCGAGATGATTTTCCGGAAGATTTTCTTGTAGCACTTGTAGCGCTCGTTCATAGTACGAAATCGCTTTTGAATGTTCATCAATCTCATCATAAACCAAACTAAGACTACTCAAAGAATTTGCCAAATTAACATTCCTTTCTGCAGGAATACTTTGATTCAGTTGAATAGATCTCTTGTAAAAGTCGAATGCTTGATCATAATCTCCGTTTCCACACATGCTTAATCCGATCATATGAGAGAAGTAAGCTTCTTCTCGATCGTTTGTTGATTCTTTTATTAATATGTTGTAAATTTCTTTTGCTTTATTGAATTGACCAATTCTGAGCATTAGTTGACCGAGTCGATCCCATCCTTTTGATCCAATTATTCGTTTTTGAATACTTTCAGTTAACAGCCGCAATTGCACATCGTCATCATTAGTCAATGTTAAATTGACTTTCCAAAAGCGATCATTTCCGTTAATTTGTTTGATTTCTTCAATTCGAAAGACGGAATGCATTGAAAATAGAATTTCGCTTTCTATTTGATGAGCACTACTTTTCTTGATATTTGCGAAGGGTGTTGACGATACTGATGGATTTACTCTTATTTCAAAGAAAATTGAAATAACATCGCGATTCTCTAAATTACTCTCAGCAAAAGCAAATGATACACTTCGAGCAGAACTTGTCGAAAGGAAATTATTGAATGACAATAATCCACCTTGAATTTTTCGTAATTTATCGAAATTTTCATAAGACAAACTTTGTCCTCGAAAAACACGAAATGATCGAGATTTCTTATCACCTCCGTACTGTTCCGAATGAAGAGCAGTGATTTGAGTGTGCAGATCTTGAAGAAAAAATCCCATTTTAATAACCACATCAACTTCCATTAAACGTAATCCTTTATTGAGCATTGTATAAAGAAAATCTTGATATGTATACCACCAGATAGATTTGTCAGAGCAATATTTCTCTTCGAATATTTGAATGTGATTCAATTGAGATTTATTATCAAAATAAAGTTCACGACAGTATTTAATAAATTCCGATTTATGTTTTTCATCGAATTTAATTGTGAGTAAAATTTCTTTTAAGATTTGTGTATACATAAATAATGGATCTAATTCATTGAGATTTTGATTAGTTAAATCAATAAAGCTAATGTTGTCTGTTGCGTGAGATGCTTGTGTGAACGCGTTAATTATCAATGTAATATTATTGTAAACACCTTTGACTTTCGGCGATTGTTTAAAATCAAGTTGATTTTCGTTTAGAATGTAAATGGAATTTACTTGGTGAATATTTAGGAGAAATGGAAGAAAACGAACGTCAGATATTATTAAAGTAATTTCTTCGTCAATATCTGTTATAAAATCAAAACACTGATCAGCATCGGTGAAGATTTCTGCTGTTATCAAGATTCTGCGTAACTTTTCTGCTTCTTCGACATCTTCATGTAGCAATACGACACGGGAGCTTTTGATTCGATGGACTTGGTCGGTACTCATTCTTCGTAGGAAGAAATTAACAAATCAATAACACACGACAAATTGTTTTGAAAAAGAATACGAAAGCTTTGGTTTTTATTCCCTTTTTCTTTTTGTTTATTTAACAGAGTGAAAATTAATGCGAAGTTATGATGTTTTTTTCAAAGACTGTTTTCAAAAGAAATCATTCATCGAACTCGATCGATTTTTATTTTGTATTTCTCATTGAAAAAGATTTTTAGTCGAATAGTGATGTAGTGAATAAATGATTAAGTAGTATTTAATAGTCAGGTGCCGATTACATCGTAGTCGGTTAATTGATAATAATTAATCGGTTAGATAATATTTAACTAACAGTTATATAATAGTTAATAATCAGTCATTTAAGGATTCACAATCAATCACTTACGAGTTGGGAAGGGGAAAACTCGAAGCTTCGAATTCTAAGTTTAGAAGTTGAAAACTTGAAGAAGTGGTTTAAAATAATACTCGAATCGAGTTAACGATTTCTGCACTACTCTTTATTAAAGGAATAATCTATTTTTCAAATGTTATTATCTCGTCGAAATAATGAAAGATAAGCTTCGGCTCTCTGTCCCGTTGGAGCATCAGGTATGTATTCATAAACTGAATCGTCGATTGATTCAATTGTCCAACCATTCTTCGATGAAAATAGTTCATTTAAATCGGCCTTTTTCAAACGACGTGGTCCTTTANTTATTTGGTACAGTTCATCTTCATGTACTCAATCTTGAACTTTCATTAAGCTGACAAAACATTTCTGATCTTATCTAAACTATTTCTCGAGTACTCAGTTATACAAATTCTATGAATGAATTTTTTATTTGTATTCTTTTCGGAAGAAAGATTCCGTATTGGAATGAAGCTAATGTTTTCAATTTGCATTGCGATTTGTTCTTATTAAAACTTGTCTAAGATAATATTTTTCAATATCAATTTTCGTTCTTTTCACAACAATATCGTAGAGAGATTCTATTTTCATATATGAATCATTTCACTCCTATGTTCTTATGTGTATATCTAATTGCCGAAAGATATGAGAAAACGATACTGAATATGTGCACAGCAGAGAACGAAAACTCTTTTTAGTTTACCGAAGAAAACTTGCTGCTCATGACATACATAGACAACTGCAAAATTATTCAAAATATTCTTTTTCTCAATAATTTTCCTTCTTTAAAACATATTTTATTGAAAGAGATCAATAGAGAATAAAGTGCTATTGTATCATTTTTATTTTCAAGCTTATCAAGTTAATACAATATTAACTAAAAGATATACCGAAGCAGATGTCATATTGTTTGAATTATTTCAGAAAAATCTGAAATAGTCTGACCATATATACATTACAATCGTCCTTTAGAAACGTTTCGTCTTATGCGACGTTTATTCGAATATGACGCGATGAAGATTGTCTCAAAGCTGCAGTGTTTTAGCAGTATTTTTGTATATCAACGTATAAGTCAAAATTTCAATACTTCAATTCTGGTTCAATGATGGAACTGATGCAAGAGAAACAATCCATGTAGATGAAATAACTATGTAGTAATTCTTTATACTTACGAATAATATTCTATTTAATACAAAAGTCGAACATCGTAAAAACTGTGAAACGAAAGAAATCGAACAAATATAGTCTTACATGCACAGCTACAATCGTAGATATTCACAATATGTCGCAATTTGAAATGAGAGATTTTATACACTTTCGTTCAGGATCGATTACATTTAAATCATGGATCATATAAAATAGAAAAACATCAAACTAAACAAAGTTTCTCAAATATATTACAACTTGATAGTATAATCCACAAAAATTTGTTTCCTTATTATTTCAGAAGAAACTACCGTTCGACAATTACGTGACTAGAGAGTTCTAAACCATTTTCGATGATTAGACAGTCATAACTAGTTGATAGTTTTTTTTTAAGAAGAACACAATTGTGATAGTATATTCTCCTTAATTCATCTCATGCTCATCCTCATCCTAAGATGCTGAAGAATTCTAATCGAAGTATTATTGTTTTCGTGTAAACTAACCAGTTTATCATCTGACTTAGCACACGTCTATGGCGTTGAGTTAGAGAGCAGTAGCTCAAATAATAGTAGTGGCCGTCATCGACGCGAACATAGTAAACGTCAAGCGTAAGTATATAAATCGTTTCTAGAACGCGATCTTGTTTCTACATTTCAATTCCTCTTCAGACTTCAAGATAATCAAAAAGTATCCGGTGGAACATTTCGACTATTTATATTACACCTCTCCATTGTTTATCCAACATCATGTGGTATATCGCAAGTCTGCAAGAAGAAATTTCTCACAAATGTTCAGAATCTGATGAATGCTCACACCAATTAGTTTTCCTTTAACATTAACATTTGCTGATGGAAAATCAGTTACTACTAACATTAGACTATGCAGTTTGATCACGGACTCGTCGTCGTCGTCATCGTTTTCGAGCGGTTCAAGTCCAGAAGTAGGTAAACAACACTTGAGGCTTCTTTTATACGATTAATGGTATGAAAAAAGGGTGACAATGAGTAAAATTCATACATTTATCATTCGAAAATGAACACACAACAGTGACCCTATCTGTTGACAAGAGTGCCCAAATGAAACGAAATAGTTGCGACTGACAGACCGTTAGAGATTTTATTATATTCTAATTATCCATTGATTAAAAAAATAATCAATTCAAGATAAAAATCAGGATGATCACAACACAATACATAAAATTAATTTTCATCCATCTTTTCAGATGAAGAAAAAAATATTTAATTCCTAAGCAGCTTTTGTTGTTATCACAGATACGATATCAACCATCAGTACTTCGACCACAACTTCGGTAGTCTCCAGCTTATTTGAACAACAAGCATGAGTACAAACAAACGTATATCGTGCAAGTCAATCTGTTCCTCCTTTGATCATAGATAGTATAATCTCATATTAATTGCACACCAGTATGGAAACTTATCAAGGACAAGCATTAGGAGAAAATTTATGACAAGTGGATCAAACCCAATCAATATCGTTTCTATCAATGATAAAAAACATTTTTAGTTAGAAACAATAAATCATAACTGTAATTTGTTTTTTTCAGGTTCAGATCCGGTTACTGAATGGTACATATGAAATATTTAGTTACAATTGAGGATCACCTAGTTTCTCATCATCTACAGAACATTTTACTCAATTAGTTTGGAAATCTACTACGACTTTTGGCATCGGTATTTGCTGTATATTAGCTGGTACATAGATGTATTGTCGTTGCCAATTATTTTTCTGCTAGTAATCATACTGGTCAATTCCCTCAACACGTATCTCGACAAAATTGTTTCTAATGAAAATNCAGCGGAAAATGATGAAATTTTTCACAGTGACATCTTTTCGATTACGTTATCTATCTATATCTATATTTTCCAAATACCACCGTTTGACAAAAAATGAATAGAAACTATCTTTGATGATGAAAGTGGGATTTCCTTTTCTTCTACCACTCTCGTATCCCTTACTAACTCAAAAGAATGATAGCATCAGTATAATGGTAGACTATTTTGAACAATTCGATTTAGTAGAACATATTTTATTTTGATTTCTAGAAATAGATGTCACATTCTCAGTTAGACTATAAGAATATTCACTACATGTTAGTGACTTTTGTCTGACAACCGATGAATCATTTGGTAGAACAAAGAACGAAAGAAAACAGAAGAATATTTTCATCGATTGTTTTAAGGACATATTAAACATTTATCGTTCGAAAAAGAACATTACGACACATTGATCGCCGATCATGTGGAACTTCAATAAATATTCTGAAGCATCAAGTGAGTATAAGATAATTCATATTCAATTTTCTATTTAATTGAGTCATACGAAAGATAAAGTTAAACAATATTTACATTTTTTCATGATTAACATTAATATTAGTTGGATGCCTTTTTTTTTGTTAGTTTGATGATTATCTTCATCTGTTCTATTTTCCATCATTCGTGTTTCAAAGACACAAGAAGTTTAGTAAAAATGATTATTCTTGAATTAAACATTTTCAAGACATATATCAACATTTTAGACGAACAAATATGAAAATATAGGAAATGCTAAAGTATAATAAGACAAATTTCGTGAGGAAGCTTTAAAAGCAGTCAAATAGAAAAATATTTTCGATTCAAAACATTTCTTCGATATCAATTTCGATCAAGACTACACTGAAAATTCATTACCAAGTTCTTTTATTAAAGAGATGAAAATATTGATAAAAATATGTCTTTTCAGACTTTTTTCGCAGAATGTTTCATCTATTTTGATTAGAAACAATTTTGTCGAGATACGTGACTAAATTCAAATTTGTCTTAAAAGCAAATTCGTTATGAACTCTCTCTCTCTCTTACCTTGAAAATATTTCTTCATAATTAGAATACTAAATGTGAAATATGACACTATGAAAACTAATTATTCATTGGACTCTAAGCATTGAGATAATAAGCAAAGAGAAATTTAGAAAGCGTCAATCAAAAGATATTCCACATTTTTCTAATTGTGTAATTGTTTTCTTCTAATGATAGATTTCAATGATGAATTTCCACAAATATCATTGCCATCGGAAACATCTAGTTCGAAACATTTAAATCACCGAACTAGTTCTGCGACTTTTCCACATAGAATGGTACGTAGTTTTGAATATATTGAGTACGAAAACTCATATGTTTAATCTTCAATTTGGTTGCTTAATATCTCATCAAAGATCAAATATTATTTACTTTTTTAGTCAGGATTCTAAGATGACTACGAATGTATTGATTTGTTCGAAATACGGAACATATCAAAGGAACTTTGAAAATTATATATTTTTGTGAATTGATGAAAAGTTGGATTCACAAAAATGTATAATATTTTTGACTTTTATCGTGTGTTTATTTGGATTTAGATACAATTACCACCATCTTCTGGAATATCGACACATTATCAGTTGTAGTCACACAATCGTAGAGATCATTTTGCAAAGTTTCGTTTACGGAAAATGGTCGAACACGACCACAGACTGTAAACCGATCGGAAATATCAATACGAGTTGAGATATAAACCGGTAATACAAAACGTNGATGGAAGTCAAGCGCTTCGGAAAATTGCCCAATATTTGCATATCCTAAACCAACGTTATTATAAGAAATCGCTAAAGTCGGATGATTTTCAGGAAACGCGTTTTGATAAATTTGCAAAGCTTGTTTATAAAAAGAAAGTGCTTTGGAATATTCAGTCATTTTGTTATATACACCTCCAATGTTGTTGTATATTAAACCGAAGTTAGCGTGGCCATCAGGTAAAGTTCTTCGAAAAATTTCCAATGATTTTTCATAATACGAGATCGCTTTTCCATATTCACACATATTACAACACGATTCAGCGAGGTTATTATAAATAGTGGCCGTATCAGGATGATTATAAGAGAAAGTTTTGTGTCGAATGGCGAGTGCTTTTTCAAAATTAGACAGTGCCAATGAATAATTACCCAACTTATTGTACAACGAGCCAATGTGATTAAAAGAAGTGGCGAACTTTGGATGAGCTTCGGAGAAAAGATCCTGTCTGATTTTGAGTGCTTGTTGAAAACAGGAAAATGATTCGGTATTTTCATTCGTATAGAAAAACACCAAACCTATATTGTCGTAAGTGTCCGCTATATGTGAACGATTAGGTGGAGTGGTTTTTTGAAGAATATTCAATGCTTTTTGAAAAGATTCAAGTGCTTTGGAATATTGACCCATGTTGATATACGAACTTCCAATATTGTTATGATTGTCAGCTGATAGACGATGATTTTCAGGAAGAATTTCGAATGCTTTTTCATGAAATAGAAGTGATTGAGAATAATCTTGAATCTCACTATATATATTTCCAATAGCACTATAGACGTTAGCGAAATCAGAATGATCGGGTGGAAGACTTTTCTCGTAGATTTTCAGTGCTTTTTTATAATAACGAAGTGCCTGTAAAAATTGACCCATTAGATAAAAGATATCTCCGATGTTACTGTAAGTAATACCAAGATCGGGATGATTTTCAAGAAGTATTTTATGTTGAATTTCCCTTGCTTTTTCATAATACGAAAATGCGATTGAATACTCACCCAAATTTCTATAAATTCCTGCAATATTATTGTACGACGAAGCTAAATCGGGATGATTTTCCGGAAGATTTTCTTGTAGAACTTGTAGCGCTCGTTCATAGTACGAAATCGCTTTTGAATGTTCATCAATCTCATCATAAACCAAACTAAGACTACTCAAAGAATTTGCCAAATTAACATTCCTTTCTGCAGGAATACTTTGATTCAGTTGAATAGATCTCTTGTAAAAGTCGAATGCTTGATCATAATCTCCGTTTCCACACATGCTTAATCCGATCATATGAGAGAAGTAAGCTTCTTCTCGATCGTTTGTTGATTCTTTTATTAATATGTTGTAAATTTCTTTTGCTTTATTGAATTGACCAATTCTGAGCATTAGTTGACCGAGTCGATCCCATCCTTTTGATCCAATTATTCGTTTTTGAATACTTTCAGTTAACAGCCGCAATTGCACATCGTCATCATTAGTCAATGTTAAATTGACTTTCCAAAAGCGATCATTTCCGTTAATTTGTTTGATTTCTTCAATTCGAAAGACGGAATGCATTGAAAATAGAATTTCGCTTTCTATTTGATGAGCACTACTTTTCTTGATATTTGCGAAGGGTGTTGACGATACTGATGGATTTACTCTTATTTCAAAGAAAATTGAAATAACATCGCGATTCTCTAAATTACTCTCAGCAAAAGCAAATGATACACTTCGAGCAGAACTTGTCGAAAGGAAATTATTGAATGACAATAATCCACCTTGAATTTTTCGTAATTTATCGAAATTTTCATAAGACAAACTTTGTCCTCGAAAAACACGAAATGATCGAGATTTCTTATCACCTTCGTACTGTTCCGAATGAAGAGCAGTGATTTGAGTGTGCAGATCTTGAAGAAAAAATCCCATTTTAATAACCACATCAACTTCCATTAAACGTAATCCTTTATTGAGCATTGTATAAAGAAAATCTTGATATGTATACCACCAGATAGATTTGTCAGAGCAATATTTCTCTTCGAATATTTGAATGTGATTCAATTGAGATTTATTATCAAAATAAAGTTCACGACAGTATTTAATAAATTCCGATTTATGTTTTTCATCGAATTTAATTGTGAGTAAAATTTCTTTTAAGATTTGTGTATACATAAATAATGGATCTAATTCATTGAGATTTTGATTAGTTAAATCAATAAAGCTAATGTTGTCTGTTGCGTGAGATGTTTGTGTGAACGCGTTAATTATCAATGTAATATCATTGTAAACACCTTTGACTTTCGGCGATTGTTTAAAATCAAGTTGATTTTCGTTTAGAATGTAAATGGAATTTACTTGGTGAATATTTAGGAGAAATGGAAGAAAACGAATGTCAGATATTATTAAAGTAATTTCTTCGTCGATATCTGTTATAAAATCAAAACACTGATCAGTATCGGTGAAGATTTCTGCTTTTATCAAGATTTTACGTAACTTTTCTGCTTCTTCGACATCTTCATGTAGCAATACGATACGGGAGCTTTCGATTCGATGGACTTGGTCGGTATTCATTCTTCGTAGGAAGAAATTAATAAATCAACAGCACGCGACAAATTGTCTTGAAAAAGAATACGAAAGCTTTGGTTTTATTCCCTTTTTCTTTTTGTTTATTTAACAGAGTGAAAATTAATGTGAAGTTATGATGCCTTTTTCAAAAGAATTCATTCACCGAACTCGATCAATTTTTATTTTATATTTCTCATTGAAAAAGATTTTTAGTCGAATAGTCATGTAGTGAATAAATGATTAAGTAGTATTTAATTGTCAGGTGCTGATTACGTCGTAGTCGGTTGATTGATAATAATTAGTCGGTTAGATAATATTTAACTAACAGTTACATAATAGTTAATAATCAGTCACTTACGAGTTGGGAAGCGGAAAACACGAAGCTTCGAATTCTATATTTAGAAGTTGAAAACTTGAAGAAGTGGTTTAATACTCGAATCGAGTTAACGATCTCTCCACTACTCTCCCATTACCATTACCATTTTCTGAGAAGCGAAAAAACTTTTCTGCTGGTACTGCGTCGTCTCTACCCGTCATTTTGATCGACTATATAACGAAAGAATGAATAAATGCAGAGGTATTTCTATAGATTAAAATGTTGTGTCATCATATAGAATAGAAAGAAACTTGTTAACGTCATACTCGTTACATTTTAACAGAGATGAAAGAAAAGAGTAGTTGTAATCATACTAGTCACTTCTTTCGTTCTGTCATCATAGTAGTTGATATCTTTTGAAACAGGTATAGAAGAAAACCAACAAATGAATACTCTGCTCATTAAGTCGAGAAGTAATCAAATCGTAACGATGAGCGAAAGTTGTACGTCAAGTCAAGCATTCAGAACCAATGAACTTCAGGGACGTCGATGATTATGGGCTATACGCTTTATTTTAGTGAGAAACTATATAGAAAAGCATTTTCTTTTGTTTCTTTCTGAAGTAGGAGGGTGAGGGTGAGGAGTGAATAGACGAAAGCTTAATTTTGCCTATGAAATTTCTATTTAAGTTATTCGTTGGTATTATGAATTCAATTCCTTTTATTTGGTACAGTTCATCTTCATGTACTCAATCTGGAACTTTCATTAAGTCGACAAAAACGTTTCTGATCTTATCTGTACTATTTCTCGAGTACTCAGTTATACAATTTCTATGAATGAATTTTTGATTTGTATTCTTTTCGAAAGAAAGATTCCGTATTGGAGTGAAACTAATGTTTTCAATTTGTATTGCGATTTGTTTTTTATTAAAACTGGTCTAAGACAATATTTTTCAATAAGATATCGTCAGAACTTCTCTAATGAAAGTCAAACGAATTTGACACATTTTTCGATATCAATTTTCGTTCTTTTCACAACAATATCGTAGAGAGATTCTATTTTCATACATGAATCAGTTCACTCCTATGTTCTTTTGTGTATATCTAATTGTCGAAAGATATGAGAAAATGATACTGAATATGTGCACAGCAGAGAACGAAAACTCTTTTTAGTTTACCGAAGAAAACTTGCTGCTCATGACATACGTAGACAACTGCAAAATTATTCAAAATATTCTTTTTCTCAATAATTTTCCTTCTCTAAAATATGTTTTATTGAAATAGATTAATAGAGAAAAATAAAGTGTCTTTTGATTGCCAAGACTATCAATTTAATACAATATTAACTAAAAGATATACCGAAGTAGATGTCATATTGTTTGAATTGTTGCAGAAAAATCTGAAATAGTCTGACCATATATATTACAATCGTCCTTTGGAAACGTTTCGTCTTATGCGACGTTCATTCGAATATGACGCGATGAAGATCGTCTCAAAGCTGCAGTGTTGTAGCAGTATTTTTGTATATCAACGTATAAGTCAATTTCAATACTTCAATTCTGGTTCATCGATGGAACTGATGCAAGAGAAACAATCCTTTATGCTTACGAATAATATTGTATTTAATATAAAAATTTGGACACATTACAAACCGTGAAACGAAAGAAATCGAACCAATATAGTTTTACATGCGCAACTACAATCGTAGATATTCACAATATGTCGCAATTTGAAATGAAAGATTTTATGCACTTTCGTTCAGGATCGATTACATTTAAATCATGGTTCATATAAAATAGAAAAACATCAAACTAAACAAAGTTTTTCAAAATAATACAACTTGATAGTATAATCCACAAAAATTTATTTCCTTATTATTTCAGAAGAAACTACCGTTCGACAATTACGTGACTAGAGAGTTCTAAACCATTTTCAATTATTAGAAAGTCATAACTAGTTGATAGTTTTTTTTAAGAAGAACACAATTGTGATAGTGTATTCTCCTTAATTCATCCCATGCTCACCCTCATCCTAAGATGCTGAAGAATTCTAAACGAAGTATTATTGTTTTTGTGTAAACTGATAAAAAAGATACTTTTAGAAAGAAAATTGGGTACATCAATAATCACCTTTGAAACAAATATTTTGTTGAGATAGTTATCAACGACCCACGTCTATTATGTGTTAATTAAAATATAACCGTTTTATATAATAAGGTTGAAACATTGGTTTCACCTTTAATCAACACATATTCTTCGGACAACAGATAAAGTTCAGATTTTGATTTCTTATTTGCATTTACACAAAGTATTGTATTTTATTAGTTTCCAGACAATAGATCATGTTAGATTACGACGAATTATCTCATACAATGCAAGAACCTTTGTAATATCGATAGTCACTTTAACATAAACATTATAACCAATATTTTGATGCTTTTTATTCTTTTCTGGGATATCGGAAACACAAAAAATTATGACGGGAGTTGGAATATTCATTTGTTTGGATCTTTTATCAATTTCAGTATTGCTCGTAGTTTCTTTAATTCTGTGTATTTTGAGAACATTGCATTGAATGTTCCAATAGATAAGACAAAAGGTTAGAACATAGATCTTTTATATTCATGAGAATTGTTATGAACAAGTAATGAATCTTGTCTTTTCTCTTTATATGCGGTTTAGAATCGGCTTTTATGACGAATATTTATACTTCAAATCTGAATTCGAACAATATGGATGATACACCAGTTACAAATATAGGTAATATTGCTCGACAAGTGTCTATTGACTTTCTATACTGACTTTCAAATTTATTCTCTAATATCTTAAATTGATTAAATTCAAGTTAGAAACAGCTACCAGTTTATCATCTGACTTAGTACACATCTATATGGCGTTGAGTTAGAGAGCAGTAGCTCAAACAATGATGGTGGTCGTCGCCGATGCGAACATAGAAAACGTGGGGCGTAAGTATATATGTAAAGCGTTTCTAGAATGCGATCTTGTTTCTACATTTCAATTCCTCTTCAGACTTTAAGATAATCAGAAAGTATCCGGTGAAACATTTTCGACTATTTATATCACACTTTCCATTGTTTATCCAACGTCATGCGGCATATCTTAAGTCGGCAAAAAGAAATTTCTCACAAATGTTCAGAATCTGATGAGTGCTCACACCAATAGTTTTCCTTTAACATTAACATTTGCTGACGGAAAATCAATTACTACTAGCATTAGACTATGCAGTTCGAGTACAGGAGCAGGTAAGCAACACTTGAGGTTTCTTTTATACAAGTAATGGTATGAAAAAAGAGTGACAATGAGTAAAATTTCATAAATTTATCATTCGAAAATGAACACACAACAGTGATCCTGCCTGTTGACAAGAGTGCCCAAATGAAACGAAATAGTTGCGCTGACAGACCGTTAGAGATTTTATTATATTCTAATTATCCATTGATTGAAAAAAATGATCAATTCAAGATAATAATCAGCATGATCACAACACAATACATGAGATTAATTTTCATCCATCTTTTCAGATGAAGAAAAAAATATTTAATTCCTAAGCAACTTTTGTTGTTATCACAGGTACGACCACAACTTCAGTATAGTCTCCAGCTTATTTGAACAACAAGCATGAGTAGAAACAAACGTATATCGTGCAAGTGAATGTGTTCCTCCTTTGACCATAGATAGTAATCTCTCATTAATTGCACAAACTTATGCTCAACAATTGTGCAATACTAACACTTTTGCACACAGTGGAAACTTATCAAGGACAAGCACTAGGAGAAAATTTATGGCAAGTGGTTCAAACCCAATCAATATCGCTTCTATCAATGGTAAAAAACATTTTTAGTTATAAAAAAAAATAAATCAGAACTGTAATTTCTTTTTTCAGGTTCAGATCCGGTTACTGCGCGGTACAATGACATGTTTAGTTACATTTGAGGATCACCTAGTTTCTCATCATCTACAGGATATTTTACTCAATTAGTTTAGAAATCTACTAAGACTTTTGGCATCGGTATTTGCTGTATATTAGCTGGTACATAGACGTATTGTCGTTTTCAATTATTTTCCTGCCAGTAATCATACTGGTCAATTCCCTCAAAACGTTCTACAACTTCCATGCAGCGGAAAATGATGAAATTTTTCACAGTGACATCTTTTCGATTACGTTATCTATCTATATCTATATTTTCCAAATACCACCGTTTGACAAAAAATGAATAGAACCTATCTTTGATGATGAGAGTGGGATTTCCTTTTCTTCTACCACTCTCGTGCCCCTACTAACTCAAAAGAACGATAGCAGTATAATGACAGACTATTTTGAACAATTCGATTTAGTAGAACATATTTTAGTTTGATCTCGAGAAATAGATGCCACATTCTCAGTTAGACTACAAGAATATTCACTACATGTTAGTGACTTTTGTCTGACAACCGATGAATCATATGATAGAACAAAGAATGAAAGAAATAGAAAAAACATTTTCATCGATTGTTTGAAGGACATTTTAAACATTTATCGCTCGAGAAAGAACATTACAACACATTGGTCGCCCATAATGTGGAACTTCAATAAATACTCTGAAGCATCAAGTGAGTATAAGATAAAAAATCCATATTCAATTCTATTTAATTTTGTCATACAAAAAAGCAACATCGAAATAAAAAATATTTACATTTTCTCATGGTTACCGTTAATATTAGTTGAATGCCTTTTTTGTTAGTTTGATGATTATATCTTCATCTGTTCTATTTCCCATCATTCGTGTTTCAAAGACACAAGAAGTTCAGTAAGAATGATTATTCTTGAATTAAACATTTTAGACGAACAAATATGAAAGTATAGGAAACGCTAAAGTATAATAAGACAAATTTCGTGAGGAAGCTTTAAAAGCAGTCAAATAGAAAAATATTTTCGATTGAAAACATTTCTTCGATATCATTTCGATCAAGACTACACTATGAAAATTCATTACCAAGTTCTTTCATTAAAGAGATGAAAACTAATTATTAATTGGACTCTAAGCATTGAGATAAGCAAAGAGAAGTTTAGAGAGCGTTGATCAAAAGATATTCCGCATTCTTCTAATTGTGTAACTGTTTTCTTCTTATGATAGATTTCAATGATGAACTTCCACAAATATCGCTGCCATCGGAAACATCTAATTCGAAACATTTGAATCACCGAACTCGTTCTGCGACTTTCCCACATAGAATGGTACGTAGTTTCGAATATATTGAATACGGAAACTCATATGTTTAATCTTCAATTTTGTTGCTTAATATCTCATCAGAGATCAAATATTATTTACTTCATGAGTCAGGATTCTAAGATGACTACGAATGTACTGACTTGTTCGAAATACGGAGCATATGAAAGGAACTTTGAACATTATATATTTGTGTGAATTGATGAAAAGTTGGATTCACAAAAATGTAAAATATTTTTGACTTTTATCGTGCGTTTATTTTGATTTAGATACAGTTTCCACCATCCTCTGGAATATCGACACATTATCAGTCAAGAAACATAAATGAAGGAAGTTTACGAAGAACAACATCAGATAATCGAACAAAAAGAAATTCGAAACCGTTGGTAGAACCATCATCGACATCTGCATTTAGTAAATTAAGGATCAGAAGTACCTATGCTCATATATTTAGTAATGCCATTTCACGTTTTCTATTACCGGTTTATATCTCAACTCGTATTGATACTTCCGATCGATTTACAGTCTGCGGTCGTGTTCGACCATTTTCCGAAAAAGAAACTTTGCAAAATGATCTTTACGATTGTGTGACTACAACTGATAACACAGTTACTGTACATATTGGGAATTTACATCTAAATAAATTAGAAATGAAACATATGACTTTTCATTTGGATAAGATTTTCGGAAAAGATGCATCGAATGAAGATGTTTACAATGTTGTTCGAAAAGTCATTGTGCAATCGCTTCCTCAAGAAAATATTCCACCTGTTGATTCGACTGTGTTCTTATATGGGAAAACTGGAACAGGAAAGTCACGCACTGTCAGTGGAATTACTCAACAATTCGCACAAGATGTATTTCATATTATTCAAAAATCGCGTTATCAAATACGTATTGGAATCTCTGCTGTCGAAATCGTTGCAGGTACAAAAGGATTCATCGTTTCCAAAGACAATATCTGTGATCTTTTCAATAATGGTTCTCTTGTTTACTTTCGAGAAGATGCTAATGGAACGGTACATCTGAGAGGAGCAAAAGAATATCTTTGCGAGAATAGTGCACAAATGAATACATATATACAGAAAGCTAAAGCCATCCGACGAACACAAGCGACTACTCGTAACTCGGAATCATCTCGATCGCATCTTATTTATTTTATATTTATACGCAATGCAGCCGATCATTTCGAAGATGGACAAATTCTTTCTAAAATCACTTTTGTTGATTTAGCAGGCAATGAAGGACAACAAGATTCTCTATTTTACAAAGGTGGCAGCGATCAAATCAAAGATTCAACATCAATCAATCGTAGTTTAGCCAGTTTACAAGATTGTATACGTTCTTCAGCCGATGGAACAAAAGTAATTCCGTTTCGTGGAACTGTTTTAACTCGTCTTCTCAAAAATTGTTTCTTTTCAAAAGAATCTAAAACAATTTTCATTGGGACAATATCTGCATTACCGATGGATGCTGAACAAAGTATACTCACTTTAAAATACGTAGGTCTGATCAAATGGACTATACAAGATTTCATTATCGAACAAATCGACAAGTTAAATGCTATTTTATAAAAGATGAGTCAGGTGAAAAAAATGTTTAAACGAACAGTCACCTTCTCTCTTACTCATTTCATCCTTTCTTATATAAACAGATTAAATCATCAATCATGACGGAATAAGATCTCTATGAATTTCGAAGTTTTGTATTTTATTCGAGAATAAATTCATTTTACGAGTTAATTTCAAGTCAAAAATGAAGTTATGAAAGATCTGCATCTATCTGACCTATGTTAATATGATGATTGAGTAACGAGTAAACAAATCTCACATTGGTGAATTTCATCTAAAAAGTCATTTCTTTTGAAAGAAATCAATACCCTTTTTTTTAAATTAAAGTAATAATGAGAAGAAGATGTGCATGAGGTAGTTTTCACATAAACAGCACATAGTCAAAATTTTGTTATAAAATAGTAGAAAGTACATTGGCACAGAAACCATCGTGAAAGTGATATGCAAAGGTATTCTGTAGTTTATTCTCAGTAGTGATCTTCTAGTTTCGGTTTCCAGTAAGTTTTTGCTGAGAGACAAGGTTTTCATAAAGCCCTTTCTGAGCACATAGTTCCGTATGCGTACCCATCTCAACAATAGAGCCGTCGCGAAGCACAACGATCAAATCAGCATCCTGTATAGTTGCCAAACGATGAGCGACGACAAGAACAGTTCTGTTCTTCATTGCTTCATTGATACTTGCTTGAACGATTTGCTCAGTGGTCGAATCCAATGCACTTGTAGCTTCATCCAAAAGAAGTAGATTTGGGTTACGAATCAAGGCACGAGCAATGGCAACTCTCTGTTTTTGCCCACCAGAAAGTTGCGCACCTTTATCACCGACTTCCGTTTCATACTTGTCAGGCAAACTAATGATAAAATCATGAATATTGGCTTTCTTGCATACTTCCATGATTTCTTCCGGAGTAACAGAAGAAGGATCAGCATGACCATAGGCAACATTCTCCGCAATCGTTGTGCTGAAAAGAATGGGTTCTTGACTGATGATGGACATATTTGATCGAAGTTCGAATATATCAATATCCTTAATATTCTTCTTTCCCATCAAAATTTCACCACTGTCGACATCAAAGAAGCGCATCACAAGAGAAAGAAAAGTCGATTTGCCGGATCCACTTGCACCAACAAGCGCGACAACTTTTCCTTTCAGCACCGAAAGAGAAATATCGTTCAAGACTGGATGGATATTGCGTCTGTTCGAGTACGAAAATGTGACATGATTGGCGTCGACTCCAGAAAGTCCGTCTTTCACATTCGTACTTCGTGGCAATTTATTAAATCGAGGGTACTTGTCCATTTTTTCACCATCGTCAATAATTTTGAACATACTAACAGCAGAGGTTCGGCCTTTCATAAAAGCTGGTAATGCGTAGTACATCCATCCAATTGCTTGAGAAGAATACAAGATGATATAGAGAGCACGAATGATCTGTTCTGGTGAGTAAGAATGATTCAGGATAAACTGCATCGAATACCAAAACGTCACGGCATAGGCTAGAAAGTCAGAGGCGGATTTAAAGCCAACTCCAAATGCCGCAACTCTGGCGAGTCTCATGGAGCAGTTATAAGTTTTCTTCGCTTCCGTTCGGAAGAGATCAACAAACGTATCGTGTCGTCCAAGATAATTGACCGTACGAATATTCTGAATGGTTTCAGTGGCTAATTGGCACGATTGTTCATGAACATTCTTCGTTTCATCGATGAGTTTATCCAAAGCATTCAGTTCCCAAAAAACACCAATACTCAGGATAGGCACCATAGCAATACTGACCAAAGCCAATTGCCAAACATTGAAGAAAGAGACGACAACAGCAATTCCGAATGCACCAATAGCCTGGACTATTAAGCCCATTTGAGGGCCACCAACAACTCGTTGGATGTAATCAGCTTCAGAATCCATACGAGCAGCAATGGCCCCGGTGCTATTCTCTGGCTTCGTAAAATAGTCCATATCATGTTGCAAGAGACCTTGAAAGCACGCTACTCGCATTCGGCATGAGACGTGTTCACCAACAAGGGCGTAGAATGTTCTTCGCACAACGGGAATGAGGAAATCCAGAACTGCAAGTCCCAAGAAGACCAATGTCCAGTAGTGGACTGTTCTTTGGTGCTTTGCAGCATCTTCAGGACGTTCGTTGAAAATAGCAACAATGGAAGCCGTGGCAGTGGCGAATAGGGATAGAAAGGTACCATTGATCACACTGGTAAACAGTGCTCCAAACATATAACGAAAGTCAGGCTTTGTAAAGGAAAAGACCCGAAGCAACGGAAATGAAGACAGCAGAGAGGATAAAATTGATTGCTGTCCATTTGAATCGCCGGAGATTTTCACAGTAACTGGCCTGTTCACTTCATCTTCTGACCTTGCATTTCTTTTATCTGTCAATTCGTCATCATTGGTGTTTACACTGCTTGGCTCTTCATTGTCCTTCTTCAACATTTGAGCTTTGACCAGTAGAGCATATGCACCATTTTCATCATTTTCTAAGAGAGATTGATGAGTTCCCATCGCAATAATTTGTCCTTTGTCCATCACAACAATCTTGTCCGCATTTTGAATTGTAGATAAACGATGAGCGATGACAATGGTAGTTCGAGACTTCAAACAGTTGTTGATAGCATCTTGAACGAGCCGTTCTGATTTGGTATCAAGAGCCGAAGTGGCTTCATCCAAGAGCAAGATACGAGGATTACGAACGAGACATCGAGCGATTGCAATACGTTGCTTTTGTCCTCCCGAAAACGAACTGCCACCTTCACCAACGTAAGTGTCATATCCATCTGGTAGTTTATCAATCGTCTCGTGAATGTTGGCTTGTTTGCATGCTTCGATCACTTCTTCCAATGGAACTTTTTCTTGTTCGCCAATACGAGCTCCCCAACAGATATTTTCATAAATTGTCGCACCGAATAGCACAGGCTCTTGACTGACAACGCCGATCATATTTGTCAAAGAGCGCTGATTGTATTGATTGATATTTTCACCATCGATAGTAATGTTTCCTTCATCCAGTTTGTAAAGCTTCGTCAGAAGACTTATCATCGTCGACTTTCCTGATCCACTGTGTCCGACAAGAGCAACCATCTGTCCTTTGTTTATCTCCAAGGAAATATCTTTGATCACTGGAATATCATTTCTGGAAGGATAGGCAAAGGAAACATTCTGAAATGAAATGTCCCCTTGAACTAAAGATGCATCAATTTCCTTTTTGTGCCTTAATTTCTTTGATGCTCGTGCGCTCTGTTCGATTATGGTGAATATTTTACCAGCGCCAACTCCAGCTGCACGAACCTCGGTAATAATTTCCAGTTTCTCACCGAGAATTTCCGCTCCAAGCAGTAACAGAAGTAAGGCTTTGAGAATGTAAACACCGTTCGAACCGTTTTCAAAAAGACGAAAGCCGTAATGAATACCGAAAGCGTAGATTGCATTAAAATAAAAGGAAGTGAATCCGATTTCCAGACCAGAAACAACTCCTTGACGAATGCCAAACTTTTTTCTTTGCTCCAAAAATTTTTTATACTTCTCCACCGCTCGTTCTTCTCCACAGAATGCTTTTACAGTGCGAATGCCAGAAATAATTTCGGTAATAACTGTCCCAGCTTCTGCACTTGACGTCTGAATATTCGAAATGATCCGCGATAAAACATTGAAAGAAATCGTACTGGAGATAATCAGGACGGACATTAAAACGAAGAGAATGATTGAGAATTTGAAAGTGATTATTAATGCGAACACAACTGCGATAACAAATGTTGATATTCCTTCGAGGACTTGACCACACAAATCGGATATTCCGTTTTGAATAAGTCCGATGTCACTGGTGAGTTGAGTGACTAATTTTCCGGAAGCATGGATGTCATGCCAGGCAATCTGCTGCTTGATTATGGCTTCGTATAGCTTGGGTCTTAGTTTGAGCACAAGTCTTTCCGAGACCATCGTCCACAAGAAAACTCGGCTGAATGAAAGAATGAAATAAACAATAGCCAGACCGAAAAATAAGATCACAACTTGATGAGCATCTGTCTTGAATTTATCTTGTGCGAGTTTTAATTGCGTTGCAGTAGCATTCTTTGGAATGTTTGAATAATCGGTCATGATCTCTGAGATATAGACGAATAGATTCGTCCAGGCAAATGAATGCGAGCCAAGAAGAATACTGGCAACTACTGCACCCATGAGTATCATCAAATCCGATGACGAGCTGTATCGAAATATTTCATAAATCAGTATCGGCGATTCGCTGTTGTCCTCATCCTCGCTTGAAAACAAATAGTTCCAGACCTTCTTCACTTTGGTTGTACAAGAGTCCTTCTTTGTCGTAACCTTCACAGTGCTATAGAGAAGCGATTCCATCGCGTTGTTATCACTTGAAGAAGAGTTCTGCAGAATGGTAATAGTCTCTTGCTCTTCAGGAGGATTCTTAGCAATCATCATGAGTTGATGCAATCAAATTGAGAAAATATTGTAATCTAGGTATGGTGCGAATTTGTTTCGTATTTCATTGAAAGGACACTAAAATAAATTAAAAATTTTGTAAGTCAGATTAAATGTCATATTGTAGTTTTCGGCGCTGTTCGGTAGAACAGTAAATTCGAAGTCGAACAAATACTAAAACGATCGTATCCCAGAGTAGAAGCCGCTGGTGAACCGATATGCATAACTCAATAGAGAATTGCGTCAGCTTTCGAATAGTATAGTTACTTGGTTAAATATTGACTGGAAAACTATCGTAAAGTCAGAAATACCACGTCTAATCGTTGCCTTGTTAGAGTATGAACGTTTCGAAAGCAGCTGTTTTCTTTATCGGTATCACGTGTAATAATAAGAAATGCATTTATGAGTATGTTTCAAATAATTTTTCTTTCCTTTTTCCTCTCTGACCTGTTGTTGTTGTTGTTTTTTTGCCTATTCTTTCTTATTTTTCCTTTTCTTCTTTCTCCTCGTTTTGTCTGTTCTATATTTTCCTCTTCTCTGCTTTCGTTCTCACCTTGCTTCGTAATGATGCCATTGAAAGATAAACGAGAGGGCAATATTGGACAAAATGAATTATTCATATGCCGCACTCCGTGCATCAATTCGTACAAGGCTAAAAATCAATTTGTCGCGAAATGAAAACTTGTCGCATACTCACTAGAAGATGAAGTTGTCTCCTACTATTTTTCGATGATGTGCAAACCGAGAAATGACTGACATACTATAGCTTATCACAGTCTTTTTTAACCGAATTTAAGGAACGCACAATTTGATGTGTCTATTTGGTACAAAACCGATGCCTACGCTCGCTTTCTCGGTGGTTCATGCTTAGAAGGGAAAGAAGAGTTCAGCTGCCGAATGTCATTGGTTTTAAAATACCAACGAGGCTCCGTAGCAACAACTTGATTGTAAAATAGAGATTTCATGACGAGTTAGAAATGGTCGCCTCAATCTGATTTTCGAAACTACGCTGCTCCACCAACATGGTCCCGCAATAATGTGTTCGCTCATTCAGTATCAGAAAGGACAACGTCCGTTCACTCTTCCGTTTTATGAGATACAAAACGGAAGGAATTCCTGTTTTCTGAAGCGTACTTCTAAGTTCCTCTGTAGGATTACTTACTAAAAACGAAGTGTTCTGAGCTCACATGTAAGTTCAATCGACAGATTGAACCATGAATTGACTAGAAGTTTCTCGATTCTTTGTAGATGTTGAACTTTGCCCCACGAAATATAGATCTGTCTGCAAAAACTCACTGTTATCAAATGCGACGTCTAAAGGTATCTTATCATCTTGAGCGTGGGTGAGGGTGTGGATATGCGTTGTTTTCATCAGTCACATACAAACATACACTATTCACTAAGAATATATTCATCTAGATTGGCGTAAAGAAGGTTCAGTAACACCGATGAAAGATCAGGGACAGTGTGGATCATGTTGGACTTTCGTTGTTACGGAAGCAAGTTATCCATATGAAGCGATTACTGATTATTGTCACTTCAAGAAGGAAAATGTTGGCGCCACTAACACTGTAAGTTTTGTTTTGTTTTTTTTTGTTCTAGTTTGAGCTAATTCATAACTCATTCTTTGACTATTCGAGAGTTAAGTCAATGTGGCGTCAGGAAATGAGACTGTTCTGCAAATGGCCATTGCTATTGATGCATCCCAGAAATCGTTTCAATTTCACAACGAAGGCGTTTATTACGACGAAAATTGTTCAGCAGCAAATCTGGTTCATGCTGTCTTAGTCGTAGACTATGGCACAAATGGATCAAAAGAGTATTTTATTGTCAAAAAGTCATGGGGCCCATCGTGGGATCAAGAAGGTTACGTATGGATGTCGCTTAATGCAGGGAACCAGTGTAGTATTGCTACAATGACTGGCTATCCGCTTGTTTAATATGATAATTTGAAAAAGAAAAGAAAATCTTTTGATATCAAAGTATTGAATAGAATTTCAATATGTTTGATGATTCCTCAAAGAAGAATTGACGTTAAAACGGATTAAAATGAGATGATAAAATTCATATAGGATTATTCGTACATTGACATTTGAAAAAATTTTCTTTTGTTAAAAAGAATGTTTTCATCAATAACAACAGATACTTATGTGATCTTATTATTAAATACAATTTTATTTCAATTGAATTCTCTTCTCAGTTTATATTCGAGAATTTTCTCTCGATTTCTATCAACATGGAGTGTTGATTTAGGAAGTGTAAAGGAAATTCTTTGTAAATTTCGTGTTTGTATTTCTTTGAATTGATGAATCAAGTGTTTTTTGCTTGTTAATATTAGTAACAATTGATCAATAGGTTTTATCAAATCGAAATGTTTATTAGTGACAAAAAAATTCATTAAAAACTACTAAAAAAGTTTTTGTTCGTCGTTTAATATTTCCAAGTATCTTTGAAATTCAAGAGATTTTTTGTTCTGAAAGGCAATTTAAGAAATACTCCATTAAAATGTTATTCGAAAACAATTGAATGTGCAATTCTTCTTCTGATTTATCATTTGATAATTATTTTCCTTCCATTCATTTCTATGTTAACAATAGACGAACAAATCAACAAGAAAAAAAAGATCGAAATTTATTATCAATTCTTTTCTCATTCAAATTCTTCTTATTCGTTTATTTTCATTTTCATTTACTTTACCAAAATTATATTCAACAATAACAAGAAATTCTTTCAAATTAATCATCTTTTTAGTTTTTATGAATAGAAAAAAATATTTAATGAAAAATGAACATTGAAATGATATTTGATTTTCAATTTAGTAAATATCGTCAATGATTATTTGAGATTTCTATTCAAATTTTGTAATTAATTAATCAATATTTAGTTTTCTGATTAATCCGATGGATAAGAATTATTCTTTTGCAAATATGTGCATCTTAAAGAGTTTAATAGAAATTAGAGAAATATTTTTCAATAATTCAAAATAACAATTTGAAAATATTCAATTGAAAAAGAAATTGTTGAAAAGAAAAGTGATCATCTGACATAATTAGAAAATGGATACAACAGTAGATGTATTTATCATTAAAAGAATCTTTTTCTTATCTCATATGATAAGCTGATAGGTGAGTATCTATCAGAATGAAGAATCATTCAAACAGAAGAAATTATACAGAAAGAGAAAAACAAATCTTTTTCTTTTGCACCGAAAGTATGATTAATAATGTATTTTACGGATCAATGCTTTCAAAATAATCCATGATCAGTTATATTTATATTTTATGTATTTTTTCTTCTTTACCTATGTAAATATATTTTCTCTTTTTCAAATCAAATGAATAAACAATCAACTTCAATGGAAGTAATGTAGAAATTCATATAAAAATCACATTTCTTCAAATGTTTCTTTATTTGTAGGTTAATGTCAATGGTATAGATGAGAATATTTTCTCACTAACCGATGTTTCACTAACTACAAACGATATTATTCAGAAAGAAAATAACGATGAAATTGAAGATAAATTAATTTCAACAAAGTAGAATTTCTTCTTTTCACGTTAAAAATACAAATTTAATTGATTTCAAATAGAAAATCTTGGTGTTCAATATTAAATCCAATTGTTCAACGAGTTCTTGGATTTAGTTTATTTTCAGTTATGGCAATTCTTCTTGGAACACTTATTGTTTGTTACACAACACCAAAACCGACAGGTAAATTTTCCAAATTGTCATTTTCACCAAATTTCGAATTTTCTATGAGAATTCAGTGAAAAAATGTGAATTAAACTTCGTTCAAACAAATCCAAATCCAATTGAATATAATTATCGTCCACGATCAGTTGCTACATGTGATTTTAATAACGATAATTGGTTAGATATTGTCATTGTCAATTCTGTTGTAAATAGTATTGGCATATTTTTGGGAGATGGTAAGGGAACTGTACATAAATCGATAACACTTTCAACTGGTTCTGCATCTAATCCACATATGGTTGCTGTTGGACATTTAAACAATGATACTTGGATAGATATTGTTGTGGCAAATTTCGGTACAAATAGTATTGGAATCTTTTTTGCTATTGGAAATGGATCATATGAAAATATGAAAAGTTTCTCAATAGGATCATCACGACCTATTTGGATTCTTCCAATTGATATAAATAATGATACATTACTTGATATCATTACAGTTAATTATGGTACGAACAGTATAAGTATATTCTATGGAGATAAAGAAAAGATTTTGTCCAATCCAGTGACATTTTCATTAGGTTATGATTCTTTACCGATGTCAATTACTGCTGCTGATTTGAATAATGATAATTATATTGATCTTGCTATCGCTAATTATGGTACAGATGATATTACTTTACTCTTTGGAGATAAGAATCAAACTTTCTTAAATAGACAAACATTTTCCACAGGTATCCATTCTCATCCATATGCAATTGCCATTGGTCATTTAAATCATGATAATCTCGTAGATATTGCTGTTGCAAATTTTGGATCGAAAAGTATTACTATATTTTTCAGTTATATCAATGGAAAATTTCAAAATCAAACGTCGTATGCGATCAATAGTGCTGCACCGTGTGCAATTGGTATTGCTGATTTAAATAACGATCAATTATCTGATGTAATTGTTACTAATGTAGACAGTAACAATTTGGGTGTATTTTTAGGAAATCATTATGGAACTTTAACAGGTCCAAAATTCTATTCAACTGGATCATCTTCTTCGATTTCATTGGCTATTAATGACTTTAATAATGATCATCGATTGGATGTTGTTATTGTCAATAATGATACGAATAGTATCAATATTCTTCTAGGATATTATGAAGGATTTCCAATTTCACAAACATACTCTGTTAGTTCATCACCATACTCTGTAGCTGTTGGTGATATAAATAATGATGATTATTTAGATTTTGTCGTTGTTGATCAATATGATGGAACTCTGAATATCTTTCTTGGATATGGAAATGCATCATTTACTACAAACACGATTTATTCTGGTTATTCTAATTTATATACTGTAGTTCTCGGTGATTTAAATAATGATAATTATTTAGATATAGTTGTAACTTACTCTGCTGGAGAACAAGTAAACGTTTATCTCGGTTATGGAAATGGATCATTTTCCGAACTAGATTTTTATTATGTTGGTTGGTATCCATGGTCTGCTGCACTTGGTGATTTCAATAACGATACATATTTGGATATTGTTGCTGCCAGTACATATTATAATGATATAAGTATTCTTCTTGGAAATGGTGATGGAACTTTTCAAGATGAAATTATATACACTGTTGGTTCTTCACCACAAGGTGTAACTGTTGGTGATTTTAATAATGATAATCGATTAGATATAGTAACTAGTAATGCAGGTGGTAATGATGTCAGTGTTCTGTTAGGTTATGGTAATGGTAGTTTCATGGAACAACAACGATTTGCAATCGGATCTTCATCATGGTCATTAACTGTCGCTGATGTCAATAACGATGAACGATTAGATATCATTACTGCTAATCAAGGTAGTCAAGATGTAAGCGTTTTACTTGGTTATGGTAATGGATCTTTTCACAATCAAACTAGATATCAAACTGACTATAATCCACGTTCTGTCACCGCTTGTGATATTAATAATGATACTTATGTGGATATTGTTACTGCTAATACCAATGGAAACACGATCAGTTTATTATTAGGATTTGGAAATGGAACGTTTGCCAATGAACTAAGATATGCAACCGGTTCCATGCCGAGATCTGTAGCTGCTGGTGACTTCAATGATGATCAACGATTAGATGTTGTTGTCGCTGATCAATCAGACGGAACCGTCAAATTACTACTTGGTTATGATCGAGGAGCTCTATCAAACAATTTCGTGTTGTCATCTGCTAGTGGTTCTCGCCTAAAATATATTGCAGTTGATGATCTGAATAACGATACAAATTTAGATATGATTGTTGCAAATTACGGTACCGGAGATGTTGGTATCTTGTTTGGTAATTCCAATGGTACATTTCAAGATCAGATTGAATATGCAGTAGATTCCAATACTTATCCGTACTCATTGGTCCTTCAAGATTTTAATAATGATGGACATACAGATATTGCAGTTGCGAATCGAGGTGGTAACAATGTTGCTATGATGCTTGGAAATGAAAATGGAACTTTTATAAAGCAAATTACCTTTGGTAATGATTTTAGCATTTCTCCATTGTTGGTCGCTGCTGGTGATTTTAATGATGATGGACGATCAGAAATTGCTCTCATACATGATCAAATAGATAACATCGATTTATTTTTCTCATACGACACAGGAACTTTTACTTTGAAATATACATATGATGCCGGTTCTCTTCCAGTAAATGCAGCTACTGGTGATTTTAACAGCGATACTTATTTAGATGCAGTCGTTGTTAATCATTGGGCTGGTACTTTCAGTGTCTATCTGGGAAGAGGTGATGGTTCCTTCACCAATCAAACTGTTTATAATGCTCATTTCTATTCGGATTCTGTCGCTGTAGGTGATCTAAATAACGATAAATCATTAGATATCGTAATTACAAATAATTTAGATAATAGTATTAGTATCTATTGGGGTTTTGGAAATGGATCATTCTCGAATGAAACCTCTTATTCGGCTGGTAATTGGCCAACTAGTGTCGTTCTGTCCGATTTTAATAACGATACTCTATTAGATATCGTTGTTGCTAGTTCAAGCTCTTATTATATCAGTGTTCTAATTGGCAAAGGTAATAACACATTTGCCAATGAAGTTACGTATTATGGTGGATGGTATTTATATTCATTATCGGTTGGTGATTGTAATAAAGATGGAATAATAGATATTTTTGTTGCCGATTCCTATTACAGTGGTGTAAGTGTTCTTCTCGGATTAGGTGACGGATCTTTTAAATATAAAACATGGTTTGCAGTTGGTAATAAACCAACATCATTAGCTGTTGGTGATTTTAATGAAGACAATAACTTAGATATTGTTGTTGGTAATAGTGGTAATAGCACAATAAGTGTACATTTAGGTTTTGGAAATGGATCATTTTCCACGGGAATAACACATTCTACTGGAACTTCCACAACGAGTATCAATGTTGCTGATTTGAATAAAGATAAACGATTAGACATTGTTATTACTAATTTTGCTGATAATATGATGAGTATTTTTCTTGGTTTAGGCAATGGATCTTTTTTTGATCGAGTTATATATTCAACTGGTTCTAATCCTATGTCAACTGTGATCACTGATTTCAACAATGATACTCGATTAGATATTCTTCTTGTAGTTAATGGTGCTTTTCAAATGAATATCTATCTTGGTTCAATCAATGAAGCCTTTGTAAAGAAAATGTCACTTGCAACTGGTATTGGTTCTCAACCAAAATCATTAATTATTGGTGATATCAACAATGATGAACATTTAGATATTGTTGTAGCAAATTCAGGTACAAATACTATTGGCGTTTTTCTCGGATATGGAAATCTTTCTTTTACGGAACAAATGTTATATTCAAATGATCATTCTCCTCAATCTCTTGCTATGGGCGATTTTAATGATGATACTTTGATGGATATTGTTGCTGCTAACTATAAGAATGATAATATTGATGTATATTTTGGTCGCGGAAATGGAACTTTCTTTCTAAACAACATAACACTTGAAACTGGTTCACAAACGAAACCATACGCAATTGCTGTTGGAATGTTCAATAATGATACCTTCTTAGATATTATTGTCGCTAATTATGGAAGTAATAATGTTGGCATCTTTTTGGGATATGGTGATGGTTCGTTTATGGATATGAAAGTTTTTGCAATTGGTTATGGATCCCTTCCGTTTTCTATTCTTCCTGGTCATTTCAATAATGATCAAATGTTGGATTTTGTAGTGGCCAACGAAGGAACTGACAATTTAAAGATCTTCTTACAAACGTGTTAAATTGTCTTCATAGATGAAAGTTGTTTTATAGTCTACAAACAGTACTTACAAAAGAGATCGCTCATTTTCAATGTCTTTGTATCGATAAGAATAGCGAGGTAAATCTGATCAAATTGTTTTATATTTTGCAACATTTTGAAATTCAGAAAAGATCAAATTTTCAAGATAATTTCTTGATTTCATTCAGTTTTCGTTATTTACAACAACTAATATTCTATGTTTGTTCCTAAACAGAAAAAAAAAACAATGTATTACGAAGTTTGAAAATATGTGAACCAGTTCGAATGGAAATACATTAACGAAAATGTTAACTGTAGGGTGTCGCACTTTTGATTCAATTCTTTTTCAACTCAATCAATTGAAAACTCGAGAATAAAATGAAACGATCAAATCCGAAAGAAGAAAAATCGAAAGACCAGTGAGACCGTCGAGATAAAGATAACCAACATGACCAGCAGTTGGTTGACAATCGCCTACAAAAACTGTTCATGTAAAACTATGATCGAAGTGAGTATGATCAATAGATAAATGTTCGAATTGCCAAGGATAAGTGTATAAAAATATGAATGTATTTGTCGAAAACGACTATGAAAACAACGTTCTTTTGCTCCAGCATCATAATGACGTAAAATGAAACTGAAAAATAAATATCCAAACAATAATAATTATTGATTTCTTTCAATGAATATCGATCGCCTTCAACAATACTTAGCATTAAGTTTCTAAGAAGTGAATCACTTCCATTAGTTATAATTATGAATATGTTCTTCCGATGTTGATATCATAGAGTTTTCCATCTGAGAGAAAAAAATATTCGTAAATCATCACCAAGATTCCAATCGAACGTGGTTTCTGATTCAACAAAATCGACACTATCAAAACAAACTAATGAACATGCTGAAAAGAAAGACAAGATTGAGAGTGAGAATGTTTTCTTCTCAAGAATGAGAACTGTTACTCAACGGTAAATGATAATGAAGAAGAAATTTACTGATAAATTTTGAAATGTTTTCTTCACTTGTTAATTAAAAAGATAAAATTTGACGAAAAAACAAAAAGTAAAAGTGATTTTGAATTCTAATGTGAAACATGTTATTTCTTTTTATTGATTTATGTAATCAATATGATTTCAAAAAACATCTTTTTCTCAATTAGATTTTCTTTTTAGAAAAACAACATTTCAGTACATTAACTAAAAAATCTTTAAATTTATTTTCTTCGTTTACTGAAAATGTAATTGCATGTGTTCTATTAATTTTAGATTCAATTTGAAAACTAATCTTCATAGTCAAGTCAAAACTTTCAAATCTATGATAAAAAGATTTCTAATTGTTTATTCTCAAAAGTTTTAACTACGATTACTTTGGATAAAACTGTATTCAAACTCTCTTATAATTATCACGATTGAATTCTTTGAATTTTCTCCAATGAATAATAAAAGTTTATAAGACTTGTATTTTCTTGATTTTGCAAATTAATCTTTCTAAATTGATTTTATGATGTGAAATATGTTACAAGTATAATTTTCTTTTTATCCGAAAATCACATAGCTGAATATTTTATTTGTCATATTATTCAAGAGAAGAAATCATCAAATGAAATATTAATAAATCAATTGATTTTTCATTTGATATTTTCTTCGTTAAGTACTTCACGTATTTTGAAATTCCATCTATCACAACAGTTTTGATGGTCATAGAATCGAACTTATTAATAATCTTGAAGAGATCGTCGAAAAAACTCGAATTGAACGTATTTTATTGACATGAAATAATAATTGTATTGCAATATGAATATCTGTAGAGCAATTGTCACATATTTGTGTCTCGATTCTTTGGTCATATATCAAGGATTTTCTTTTCTTTTTATTCAATTCAAATCTATCGATTTTGTCTTCATTAATAATAAGAAATTAAGAATATATGAAAAATCATCATATAATTCATACAGATGAGACAAAGAATTTATAACAATCAGAATGATATCATAATAGAATTAAACGTGTTTTCATTATAGTAGAACTCATAGAGAACTTTTCCGTTTATTTCCATCAAATAATAATGAAAGACTTCTTGTTCTAGACTTTCATACAAATTCTACTTCTGTTCGAGTATCAATCGTCCTCTCATGTTGTTGTTTTTTCTTTTCTGTGTATTGAATCGAAAAATATAATTCGAGATATTTCAATGCACTTTTCGTGTTTTTTCTTTCATATCGATGATCGATGTTAATATATGATAAAAGGCAGAATAGCGATTAACTCTCTAAAAAAACAACGACAATTGAACCGTCTGTGTTTCAATTGAATATTTATCAAATGATTTACTTGAAATAAGAAGAATTGAAACGAAGAGAAAAAGAACATGTTTGTTATCATTTCTCTTTCTTTTCTCTCACAAAAGAATAAAACATAGTTCGCTTCGTTTTTTTATCTAAATATTTGATATTACATTCGTCGAATGATTTATTTATTTTCAAAAACTCTTATATTCTCGTTTGTAATGCGTATTCGAAAAACTGGCCAAATCTATCTCGTCGATTTTGTAATTCCACATGTGCAAGAGATTTACAATCCCACAAGGCATTCAATCAAATAAACGTGTCCGTCGAATTTCTTCTTTGGCATCATTATATTTTTCATTTATTATCTTATACAATTCTACCAGCAACTATTTTAATTGTGACTAAGAAATGCAGATTAGTTTAGACTAATGTTCTATTTTCTTCCCATCAACATCATTTGCATTTCTTTCAGCTGTTTTAAAATGTTTTCGTACTCAAAGCCAATTGTTGGTAACATTCAAAATCTCGTTTAACAAACATTTTAACCTTAGTTTCTTTAATATTTTTATCGTGTTACTTTCCTTGTGCAATCGTCCAAACGTTTTCTACGATAATCATTGATTATTATTCAATTCATTGTAATATTCTTTTGCTTTTGAAAGATTCGTCGAACATGAAGTTGTTAAAAGTGATCAGTCATCGCCATAGAACAATGTTTATCGTCATCGTCAGTGTAGATCTTATGAATATCACATCGGAATCATAGACAATGAGAAAAAGGAAATAAAAAAGGGGAGTTCTTTGTTCATTGCATACGGAATGATTCGAGAGGTTCCATATTTCATTTGGAAAAGTTTGAATTTTTGTGGAGAGAAGTTATTTTGTGTTAAAATCGAACGCTCAAACAGAGAAGATTTTGTGAGATAGGAAATCAGCAGACATTTTCAGACAAACTATTTTTATGCTAATTTTTATTCACACACTTCATTTAATGTCTGAGCTTTTCTACTAATTTACATTTTATGGATGTTGAAAAACGAATCACGAACAATCGAAACGCAAAAACCGATTTTTAACGATGAGAATAAAGTTATTCAGTATCCCGAACCGTTTTCAGCCTCGAATCGAATATCATTAAATGTTTTGACATAATGGCAAATGTTCATCTGTAGGAATTCTCATACCAAATAATGAGACGTTTGCATATTTATTTGATTTAGTAAATAAAACTGAAGTCGATTCAGTACGTATATTCGGGAAGAGTCAATCGAGAGTTAATAATTATCGAGTAAATTAGTTTTTGAATGCACAATGTCAAACTCTGATGTATCTTCTTCAGTGTTAACCTTTTGATTCAAACGATAATAAATCTAAATGAATTTGTGCATCCACTGACTTTGTTTCGTGATTCTTTTATTGAAATTTGTTCTCAAAATCTTTTTTAGTAACGAGATATTCGTTTCTTTTGTCTAATTGACAAAATTATTTCGTTCCAAGATGAATGTTTCTTTTTCGATAAAATGAATTTACCCTAAACATATTTGTTCAAGCCAAAGTTGTCTTTTATTATCCTTTGAAGACAAATGAAGTCTTCAAGCTCATTCTATTCTAATAAATTTTAAAGGGAAAAAAATCAGAAACAAAGACAAGAGCATCAACATTTTTTTCATCATATGAAAATGAAAGATAAATGAACATTTTATTACTTATTATACATAGACTATTTGTGTTTATCAATCAAATTCTTTCTCGGCGTATCGTTTTTCTGCTTTCTTAAATGAAAACTGGGCTAAAACAAAAAGTTTTGTGAAATAAGTCCGTTGCAATTTGACAGTCCATCTGACGAATTAAAATATTTGTTGACTTCGCTTGAAAAAGATCCGATTTTCAATACGACAACCATAATCAGATTCCGATCGCGACCGCTCCCAAACCAAATTTCTGTATCATATTTACGCAATACAGATCACTGACCACCAAGTAAACTGATAAATTTGATTCGAAAAAAAAACAGCATATTCATCAAATCCAAATTGTTTCTATAGAATATTCTATTCCTCTTCGAAAAAGTAAATGATCACTTGCGGATGTTCCCTCGAGAGATAAAAGCATGAACTACGATTAATTATATTTTGTTTAAACACTAATGTAGCCCAAGACTTTTATAAACGGTGGCATAGTCAAAGGATTAAAGGGTAAATTCATAATTACTTCTTTGACGTCAATGAGATATCAAAATTATCTGCTTTTACCATCAACTCGTGTTTATGAAATTGCGCTTCACAAATTGAAACGAATTTCAATGAAGAGCCATAGACTATGTTTAAAGAAAACACGTCTTTTGATAGAAATCTCAATGGCAAATGAAGCTTTTTGTTGCAAAAAAGAAAACAGATGTTTATCTTGTGAAAGACAAATTGGACATTCGCAGTTCGAATCAATGATAGTTTTAACGTACTTTGTAAAGCTCGCGCTGGCTTTGGCAATCTTATATGGAAAGATCAAGAAAAGTAAAGTCATGATTGTCATCTTTTATTAATTTTCGATCTAATAAAACTCTAATATTTGCCGAAATGTCTTCAGGGGAAGAGTAGAGATAAAAAGTACGGGATATCACTTGTAAATTTTCATTTTATATCCACGAAACTTGCAAAGTAAGTGATTATATACCACAGAGGACAAGTGTTGAGTTTTCTCATCGGTAAAGAAGAAGTACCAATTCGAATTTTCAATGGGAAATCAACAAGCAAAGATACGACGAAGTGAGCTTTCTTATTTGAGATTTCGTGTGAGACCTTATTCGAACGAAATAGGAGCTTATCGACGCCCTGCAATTCCCCAGGAAGATCTTTGGCTTGCACAACATACATTTCGTCTGCGAAATCATTTGTATACGCTACTTCAACGTCGTGGAGAAGGAAAATTCGGTTCGATTTGGTCATGCGCAGATGGAACAGGTGAGTCGTTTAGCAGTTTTCCTTAGTTTTATTGAGGAAACAAATGTTCGTCAGGAAACTACGCTGCCGTGAAGATTTTTCATTTAAATCGTTTACAACAACAGTTAACAACAACGGAGATTATGAAGTCATTTCAAACAGAAATCGATTTGGTTTGTCGAATTCGTGAAACGAATGATTGTGTCATCAATATTCTCAGTTTCGACTACGAGGCACATCGAAATATCGTTTTAATTGCGATGGAGTTAGGTGATCGATCATTGACCGAATATGTTCGAACACTTCACGAATTGAATTCCAAACAGACCGATAATTTCATTCCGCCGAAGGACAGAAAAGAAATTTGGACTCAACTGGTTGACATTTGTCAGATTCTTTATCAATATAATATAGTAAGTCACATTTCTGACGAGTTTTTTTCTTCTGAGAAAGAAACTTTGTTCGAAACAGGTTCACCGAGACTTAAAACCGGATAGTTTCATTTATATGGGGAATAGGTTGAAATTAACCGATTTGGGAATCACAACAAACGATCTCTCTAAGTAGAAAATCTTGAAAAAGTAATTTCTTCGAAGTTTTTTTCTTTCATTTTGTTCAGATCAGCGTCTTGCTACACAGGTCGGCGACGTATCACTGTCGGAACACGTTTTTATAGTGGTCCAGAATGCATTACAGGTCAGTATTTAGTCACCTTGAAGACAGATATCTGGTCATTAGGGGCGATTCTCTACTATTTAACATACGGTATGCCGCCTATCTATGAAAGTCATCAACCTCCATCAGGTCGTTCACAAACGCCTTCGCTTTTAATTGAAAATATTCTTGAAACGTGTTTGGTCAAAAATCCCAATCGTCGTCCATCGCTGCAGTGGATTCAGAAGCATCCATTTACAAATACAAATGCCGTAGCATGAAATTCTTGATCATCATCATTTAATCACTACGCCACTGTGAAATAAATATTTCTTGTTTGTCAATCCATTTTACTTTATTCACCAATAAACGTCCGAATTATATCTCCTAATTCGTCTTCGACATGCATTGATTTTATCTAAAGGAAAGAGAAAGAGACGAATTTGTCTATTCATTGAAGATCATGTAGAATATTTTTCTTCTTACTTTGACAACGATAAAAAGGAAAAACCTGACTTATCAATGACAATAAAATAAACGTTGAGGGCTTTTTCTAAAACTATGCTTTGTTAACAGCCGTCTTAATCGATGATCATTCGGACTCGAGAAAGCGGCTTTGATTGAGACACAAACAGTTTTTCGTAGAGATACGCGCAAAAAACATAGAGCAAATTTCATTAAGGAAATTCAAAATTGGAAGAAATCTTTTCTTTTTATTCATAATGATTTGCCCACGAACGATTGGAAACAATTATCTGATTTAATTAATCAACAAGACCAACCATAACATAGATTGGCGAATGGTCGCTCGTTTTACGAAGCTTGGGCTCTTCCGAAATCGATCGATTGAATTGGTGAAAAATGGAATTCTTATTTTAGTCGTTAGTTATCTTAATAAAAATTGTTTAACGATGACTGAAAATGTATATGAACTTCGATATGAATGCGCGCAACATTGTTCATTGGCAAACGAGGAATTAGATCAATATACGATACCTATTTACATATTCGTTCATATGATGAATGTGTTGACATGGAACTTTTTTAGCAAGTATTCATTCGAATTAATTGACTCGGCAACGCCCTGCGTGGATTTCAAATTTTACGATCAATTAATGAAGAAAGAATTAAATTTGGATACGTTTGCTTAAAAGCTCCAATGGGTGCTATGCGAAGTACTACTCAAACGATTTTACAACAAACATTGGAATTCAGTAAAAAGCGATCAGATGACGAAATTATTCAGTTAACTGATTGTTTCTGGAATTATTACCATGATCAAGTTGAACTAACTCGTGAACGCTTTCAACTTAAATGGATATTTTTGTTATTAGTATCAAAAAAGTTTCTGAAATCTTAACAATCGCTTTGAAAGTTCAATTCTTTATCGACGTTCGCTTTTGCCAAACAATATCTCAATCAGAACTCGAAGATTATCATCGAAATATGATTAAATCAAATAAATCACCAATAAGTTATTTTCATTTATCAAAATTTGATGGAAGTTATTCTTGATTAAGTAACACACTTTCATTCGCTAATTGTGTTTCATCACTAAATCAAACATTTAATTATATATTTCCACATGATTTACACATACCAAAACCATTAGAATATTTACCATGTTTCATCCTTTTTTTTTCTTTCAAGAAATTCTTCATGATTATTTCAATAATACTAAAATGTTATTTCTAAGAACACACGATAAAACGTTCAGACGAAAGTACATAGAAAGTATTCATTTTATCTTCAATGCTAAAATTACGTCGATCCCAATTGTATTATCATGGCAACATACCCAAAGATGATCTTGTGATCGAATGTCCACGCTGATAATTCGAAAAGCAGGAAGGTTCTTTCACATATACTGATAATCAATATCATTTAATCTTATATGTTGTAAATATGCATTGTATATCGAAGAAAAGGTTCTATAATATATTTTGAATTACACGAGAAAACACTTCGATTCGATATTAAACCAGAATGATTTCTATACCAGTTAAACATATTCATATTAAATGATATGAAAATCGAATAAGATATTTTAAACCACCTTGGATTCTGTCCATTGGAACAATTTCGAATCTTTCTAAAGCTTTTCCCGCAAATAGAACAATAGCGGGAGTTCTTCAATTTACTCTTTGTTTATATTACAAATATTTTGCGATATGAAATAAAATTATGAAGCCCAATAATGCTAATAGTCATAATTAAAATGCAAAACGTTTTTAATAATTAGTTTTTGTCGCTCAAAAAAAACAAGTCTCTCAATATGATTTTCATAATGAAATGATTTATTTCAGTTTTAATAAAACGAAAGAAACGAGATCATCAATTTCTTAACTAAAGAGGATGATCTATTCAGACACATACATTTCATGGTTGTTTGTTTGAATTTATATGATAACAACTTTTTCGATCCGTTGAGTATTTGTTGAAATGTTTGATGATAATTATCGTTGTCTTATTCTCTATCCATTTTTCTTATCATAATCTAAGTAGACAAGTATAAAAAGCGCATGATTCTTTTTTCCGTTCTCTTATGCATTTGAATTGTACTAAAATTTCAAATGGGAAATTTTCCTTCTCAACAATCGAATGTTCCACATTTTTGGCCAAAAATGGAATTTTCATTATTTTTAAGTGGCATTATTTTTTCCATTCCTTGTTATTTATTTGTGTTTTATCATCTGTTAAATGAGAAAACGGCTCGGCAAAGTCTACATAATCATGTAATTCTCATATTATTATTTTATAATTTTCTCATTGTCATATTTGATTTGCCAATGACGTTGAATTTTAATCGTCTTGGTTATGTTTCACCATTTAATCAAACTGCTTGTCTCATTTGGCAATTTGTTGATAATGGTATATGGTATGGTGCACTTTCATTAATGTTTTGGGCGTCATTTGAACGACATATTCTTGTATTTCATACAAACTTAGTTTCAACTACACGTCGACGTTTATTTTTTCATTATATTTTATTGATATTCTTTTCTCTTTATACACCAATGATTTATGTTTATTTAGTTTTCATTCAATCATGTGGACAAATTTATACTGAAACAGCAATTCTTTGTGGTGGAATATGTTTATATATAGACGCTCCTGTTTGGTTACAATTGTATGATTCATACATTGATTATATATTGCCAATTCTCTTAATACCTATTTGCAGTATAACACTTTTATGTCGATTTCTACGACAAAAGCAACGTTTACAACAAAATGTAACATGGCGACAATGTCGAAAAATGATCATTCAAATAACATTAATATCAACAGTTTATATGATTTTTGATATTCCCGCTGTCATAGTTTTTATTGTGCAAGTATCTGGCTATTCAACATTTGGAAGTGACATTTGGTCTCCATATTTAGCACGTATGACATTAGTTCCTTCATTAATCATACCATTTGCTACTCTATTAGCATTACCGAAATTAAAAGGCAAACTTCGTAATTTATGTTCTTGGAAATATAATCAACGAGCTGTTTTTCCAGGAAGTACAACTAATTGAGAATCATATCTTTTGATGTCGTTTGAATTTTATATTTATTTCATATCGTCTTACACAATAAATAGTTAATTGCAAGCGCCGAACTGAACGAGAACGTCATACATCGTAGTATAAAAGTACTTCTGCTTTAGATAATAATAAATATAAAAAGGAGTAGCTGTAAACCAAGATTCTATAGATTAATAAGCATATAAACTTGATGAATAGTAAGGCCAGATATTCTTTTGATAAACGTATATTTTAATTCAAGTATAGCTGTAGCAATCTTTGTCGGTCGACAGCCATCCCCCGTCAAATAATGGTTGGTTGGTGAGCAAGCCAGCGAACAGGATCATTAGATGAGACTGAACTGCTTAATGAGAAATGAGCTAAATCTCGTAAACGATTCAGTATGCCATATCAGTTGAACCGTAATTTTCATGTAAATCATTGTAGTCATTGAAATTTTCTAGATGTCGTGGAAATCTATAGCTATCTAGAGCGTGCAGGATATCGACGAGTCGGAGTATGGCTATAAGCATACAATAGCAATAGATTTAAAAAATGGAAGATTTAATAATAAGTGTATTTGTTACTTACTCCGAAGTTGAATAAGTGCGACGATGGATAGACTTGTAATAATCGTCAAGCTGTATGAAAATTGACCTTCGAAAAATGTTGAGTGTTGAATAGACGCTTGTTAGCTTTCGATTTCTGAGTATGGAGATATAATGAACACTAAACTGTGTATTGTTATTTTGTCGAACTATACTAATTTCTACCCCGACAAAAGGTGTACAGGAAGTTGCCTAACCCTTTTCCAGCCCATGTAAGCATTTTTTGGATCTAAACGCGCTTTAATCGCGTCCGAATCGCGCCTAAATCACAGTAATTGAGCGCGTCCCAGGTGAAACAATCGGAGCATCTAGACGCAGTACAAAACTGACTGCGTCTAAACGCACTTCAATTTGAGCTGCGTCCTGGGTGGAA